ATATTATAGCAAATAGAAAATAAAATAAAATTAATGAAATTTTTAAATTGAGGAATATTATTTGACCACCTTACTGAGACCCACCCAAACAATTAATTCACCATGAATTTGAACACAACGACGAGTTCAATTTCCTGGACCTAAATGTAAAAAGAAGAAATGATGGAGTGGCTGAAAAGTCCATCTTCAGAAAAGAAACCTGGACTGGACAATATCTTCACTATAACAGCTTCTTCCCTGTAAGCAATAAGTGGGGATTAGTAAGGCCACTGTACTAAAGAGCCAGGAAGTTATGTTCGCCTAACAAGGTAGAAGAAGAACTAAGGTTTATTGAAAAATACCTCAGGGAAAACGGGCATCCAAAGGAATTTATCCTAAAGTACGGCAAAGAAAGAGATGAGAAAGTGAAGTATCCAACAGTTGAAAAGAAGGAAGTGTTTATTTGCCTCCCATACAAAGGAGAAGCAGTACCACAAAAGATTGACAAAAGGATGAGAGGAGCAGTAAAAAGATGCTTCCCTTCAGCTAAGCTGGTGACACTATACAGCACTACATGCTCTATAAGCCAATCGAAACTGGATAAGTACCCACCAGATGTTACCCCCAACTGCATTTATAAATTTACATGTACCTGTGGTAGAAAGTACATCGGAAGGACGGAAAGAAGGCCATCTATTCGGTTTTCAGTGCATATTCCAAGAAATTTATGCCTAAAAGGAAGCAGATATTTACAAAGTGCAATTACCAGACACCTTTTGAATGCGGGTCACTTTGTCGAAATTTCCAAATCCTTCAAAATATTAAACATACAAAGGATAACGAATCTACTACGATTTACTGCTGAAGCAATTGCAATCAAACGTTTCAGATTAAACCTATGCACACAGAAAGCAAGTGTAGTCAATCTCTCACTACCTTGGTAACCAACCGTATTATTTTCATTACACTGATTAGTCATACACACTATTAAGTTCAGCTCACTAAGCAAGTTTTCAGATTGTTGAACTTTGACCTTCTTGAGTTCCCATGTCGACGAAAAATCTAACACTACCTATGAGAATATTCTGTTTTCTGTCTTTTCTCAACCCCCGTCTTTTTTTCCATAGTTTGATAGCATATAAACTGATGGTAACTTAAACTAAAAATTGTAATGCTTATATTCCGAATGCGTTCATCTTGTAATGTTTTCTCTATTACCTTTCAAACACTGAAGTATGAAATGTAATTGTTTATAACCATTGTAATTTTAGGCAGTAGTTTGTAGCAGCTGATGAGAACCTGTGAAAAAAAATGATATCATTTTATACTGTAAATCTGGTCTTTCTTTCTCCATCAAAATTGATGATAATCAGAACCTTATTTTGGGATACATAACTTAGGTTTCTCAATATAGATGCCAACAGCCAGCCTCAGCAATATGTAGTAGACGAACTCTTAAGATAAAGTTAAGATTAATAAGTATGCGGTAGTCGACTTTGAAATCCGCCTTGTTAACATTAATCTTGTGTTCTGTATCCACGAGATGAGATTAAATAGAGCTACCTATGAATGGGTTTTGTTTCTCCCTTACTCAATCAACCAATATGCAAGATGGTGTCCGAAGATGTGACGATAAGCTAATCTTATATATTTATTCCTCCTAATGAATTTGAATAAAGCAATAACAACAGTTTTGCAGAATAAAAAGGTGGTACCATCATTGTTTATTTCGTTGTCTTCTCATCAGCTGCTTACAGACCAAAGTCACTATTAAGTATATCTACAGAAACATAGTGGAGAAAAAGCCTATCTACATTCAACTTGAATATAAAGTTCAAAACATTGCAACAATGCTCAACAAAAGACTGAATATGTCACTAGGCAAAGCCTATCCTGCATACAGCTAAACTCGTTCCCGTCTATCGAAACAACTTGCTGATCTTTGGTGCAATCAAAAATCAATAGATATCCTTCTCATGTTAACAACTCCAACTGTATATACAAATTTACATGTATCTGCGGGAGCAGTTACATTGGAAGAACAGAAAGAAGAAGGGCATATCTGCGATTTTCTGAACATGGACCCAAAATCCTATGTCTAAGGGGAACAAATTCTTTAAACAGTGCCATCGCCAGTCATCTCCTCGGCATGGGTCATGAGGTGGACATCGCGAAATCGTTCAAAATTATCAATAAGCAAAAGAGTTCAATTCTCCTCAAGTTTGCCGGAGCGATCTCCATCAAGCGCCTGAAACCTGATTTGTGCGTTCAGTAAGAAACAGTTATCAGTCTTTCTTTGCCCTGCCTGATAAATGGATATTTTCACCCTCTCTTACATTTGATTACGTAATCCGAAAGTTTCCATTGTGTATGATCATTATTGTTGGGGATAAAGTGTTTATTATTACATATATATATTATTACTGTATGCATATATTGATCGGTTGATCTTTTGTTTAAAAATGAACTCTCTACGCAAGTATGTTGAAATTGTTTCTGTAGAGATACTTAATAATGACTTTAGCTTGTAAGCAGATGATGAGAAGCCAACGAAGTAAATAATGATGGTACCATCTTTTTATTCCGCAAAAACCGTTGTTGTTTTTCTTGCTTTATTCAAACTAATCTTAACTTTACATTGAGAGTTCGTCTACTACACACCGCTGGGGTTGGCTGTTGGGACTAATATTAAGAATACCTAACCGTATGTATACAAAAGAAGATGTTGTTTCAGACGCTTTCCTTAGATGCCAAGCCATCAAGTGTTTAATAATCCTTTATTTTGTTACTGTAGAGATTTCCTTAATTCGCATGCATCTTTCTTGGACTGTGGTGATTCCACTGTGATCTTACTTGACAAATCGATAGTATTTAAAAGACACACCAACATTGGTAATGACGATTATTCTAGAAAATTCTCTGTATATAAATAGAGGTTTATGTATAATTGTAAAGCAAGAAGAGGAAATTCCATTATGGGTAAATTTTATTTTGATAAAGTGTCACAGTGTTATACAGTAATGTTTACTGATGACCACGTTTCGAGTACAATATATTGCTCATAATCATACCAAGGTAATCACACAACTTCCTAAATTCATTTATATAGTTCCATTGTTTTTCTCTTGATTTTCACTTGATTTGATTGGTAGTAATATTTTCCATATTTCGGGTATGAGTGATGATTCATTCCTATTGCATGTGTTGAGTGTAGATTCGATGAACAAGGGTTCAGTAATCAACCCCTCTCTTCACCTACCTAGATTACTTTTTAGAATTTTAACCCTCTCCCACCCTATTGTGTGGTTGTGTGCTAATGCATGCATTGCAATTGCTGAGCTTTATTCTAAATTACTCATCTTCTCGGGGTCAATCATTCTAACCTTAGCTAAATTCTGATGTTCTGACAATCTGACTACCCCTGACTTACTAGTCTGACCTATGTAGTTCACCTCACTCACAGTCATTGCAAGGTATTTTGTAAATTATATTATTTTGTCTAATTGGGTCAACTGGGTCCTTTAACCTACAGAGCTTGTCCTGCCTGAGTGAGTTTGTAGGTTTAAATGCCACCAGCCTAATTCCTGCTTTATTGAGAATCATCAGATGTCCCCTCTTTATATGGTATAACTGCAGATGACTTATATTGTCACTTATTTATGTTATTATTACTAGTTTCACATTTACTTTTTATTTTTATTTTGGCGTTTTTCAATCTTCCTAATGAACTTTAAAGCATAGTTATTTAACACTAACGCCTCTTCTATCTGTTTTATTTCATCACTTAGGTCTTTTTTTGTGCTACTTAGTGCCATTGCTCGGTTTGATAAACACTTAACTAAGCCCGCCTTAACAGTTAAAGGATGAGATGAATTAAAGTCTAAATATCTATTAGAATGCGTTGGTTTTCTATAAACACTAGTGTGTAGTTTACCTTCTTCTATTCGCTTTATTTTACAATCTAACAAAGTTAATTCTCCTTGCTCATTTTCGGCTTCAAATGTTAATTTTATTCCCTCCACTAGTGAGTTTATATGTGTCAAGAAGCTGGAGAGAGATATGTTCTGTTTTTAACACTGTGAAAGTGTCATCCACATATCTCCAGCATATTTTTGGAGTAGGATCAAATGTCGTATATAGAGCACTATTTTCGCAGCTGTCCATAAATATATCTGCTACGATAGGAGATATTGGTGATCCCATTGCTACACCTTCTGTGTGTCTATATATTTTTCCTTGGAATTTAAATATGGTAGATGTGAGGCAGCACAACTGAATTCCTGAAATAATCTCTTCAATGGGCAGCTTTGTCCTATGAGTGAGTTCAGGATCTGCAGGTAGTTCTTTTTTAACTGCTTCTAAGGCCATTTTGATTGGTATATTAGTATAAAGACTAGTTATATCTAAACTAACCATTTTTCATTACTCTCTAGTTGAATGTCATTTAGTTTATTTTTCATCTCATATGAATCAGTCAGTCTAGAGTTTGAACGATTTCTAATGGGGCATAATATTAGTGCTAAGTGTTTTGATAATTCATAAGTAGGATTATGATTATGAGCAATAAATTGTGCTCGAAACGTCATCAGTAAACATTACTGTATAACACTGTGAGACTTTATCAAAATAAAATTTACCCATAATGGAATTACACTCTACCACAGTGCACAAGAAGGGGAAATTATCGAAAAGGATCATTTTTGCTCAATTTTCTTCCGTATATATAAATATATATATATATCGTAGTAGATTTGCAGAATAACAATTTGAATATAACAGATTATTTAAGGCACTTTACAACACAATCTTCAAGGTGAGAGTTTAGGAACTTGACGACAAAATAAAGTTTAAAAAAAATGGCATCAGAGTTTTTCAATCTCACAAATGACTGATAAATCGAACTGTGAGTTACTGTGATTGATTTTTGAAAGAGTAAAAAACAAAGAACCAAGACAAAATAAGATCCATAGTAAGCGCGAAAGCAACCGACCGAGTGTTGAGTACATAAAATAATCTGAGTATTAAAAGTCTTCTTCATCTCTGTTCACAGAATAATCGAATGCATTGCTCTCATTACTTTCATTGATATGATTGACGTTGTTGTCATTATTATTAGTGTTAGTATTACTGTTTATATGGTTATTCATGTGAATTTGACGTTTATTCAACACACGATTTAAGCCTTTATTATTATGACTAGGAAAATGCATATTCAACTCTGTAATTGGGGATTGTTTATGCGTATTGACACTGACTAAATTATTTGGTCCATTTCTTTTGTTCAACTGTGGAAGGGATTGATGTATTTTCTTCTAAAAAAGAGAAATGAAAACAAGGTGCAAAATAAAAGTAGTGATGATGAAAACTGTCATGGAATTTTATGATTTTTGTGTTCTGAAATATGATCTACTTTAGAAATAACAAAACAGACACCCGTACTCGTTTAATTCAGGATCTGGTGAGATTATTAATACTGTTCCTTTGGGTTCCGAGTGGAAAATAGACCTTCAACAGCACTTGTTCATTTCAAGCTGTTCTCTTGCAGCCCACCTTAGCTCCTAAGACACTCGTCTTCTCCTCCAGGTCACCCTCGGACCCCAGTCTTTCACATTCGGGTTCCCGTCGATGGCCCAACACACGATTTCACCCGATGGTTCCCTCAGAGTGTATTTGATCCACCTCCATTTTTTTGGGTAGTAGATTCTTGATCGGCTTTTCCTCAGAGATTTTTGCTGCTAATTACTTCTGGCCGGCCGTTTGATCTTCAGTATAGGGTCAGCAAAGGGGGCAGCTGTTGATGGAGGTCTCCAGTAGCCTGTTAAAATTGCTTTTCGTGACGTGCATGGCAAGTTCCTCACCCATACACAAGAACTGACTGACCGACAGACATTGGTGTTGAACAGAACCCGGATTTTGTTGTTTATGCTTGAGGTGGAATGCGGTAGATTTCCGAATCGATTTCACAGTGATCAAGGTCTGTCTCTCCCTTTCGATACCTACCAGCTTTGACATTCTCACTCGTGTCATCTGTATTTGAAAGGATGCCGCACAGATAAATGAAGGATCTAACATCTTTCGGATTTCTTCCATTGATAGCGAATGCTGCTTATTGTTGTTGTCGTTGGTTGGTAGGGTGGCTGGCTGGATGGCTGGTTATCTTCATCACCTCCTTCTTCTCTTTGCTTAGCTGAAGTTGTGTCTTTGTTACTTCTTCTGTCAGTCTGTTGGTTTTTGCCTGTAAGGTCTTCTAGAGTCTTTTTATCGGTTCAATGTGTTTGCTGTTTTCGAATTCCCCACAGTGTGCTGCATAATCCAGTCGACCACAATTGAGGATATTATCGGTGATAGTAGGGAGCCTTTTCTTTTCCCCTGTATTCTTGTCACACAATTCGTTGAGATTTCTGTTATGGAACACTTGATATATGGTACTGTCATATACCTTTTGGATGAGACCCATAACGATTTGTGTCGAGGTGTAATTATATAGGCAGAGGGCTTAAAGAGTTTCAAGCATTTTGAAAATTACGCGATCTTCTTGTAGTTCTATCGCTGAAACCAGGGGATTAGATCCCAATAGGTCCCCATCATAGTTACTACTACCATAATGTGACATTCATTTACATAACTTGAAATGATTTCTAGTCAAAACAATATATATAAAAAAAGAGAAGACGTTCAGTGAAGAGACTATTTTCGACGGCGAATTCATTTACAGAGCTGTACAATCACACTTATATATAACTATTTTTGCGTGTGTGTACATGAGGTTTGTCAAGTTTATATAATTAATCAGGTAATACAAGAATGATCTTATATAGAAACAAGGTTAATTAGACAGCAACTAAATTAAGATTGAGTTAGTAAGTTAGATGATGCAATATAATTGACTAAAATACTTCACCCTAGGTCAGGACACCAACAGAGGTAATTACAGGTAGAGGTACAGACTAAGTAGAGGTGGGGTAGAGAATAATGCCATTTAAATTAGAACTAAAATTGACCAAATAAATTGGATGACGTAACATAAATGACTAGAAATTGAGAGTTGGTCAAGTCAGTAACAGTGGTAATGAGGTGTAGAAATTAAAACAGGTGGTGGTGGAGAACAAGGAAGTTGAAAATGTTAAATATTACCATTGGAAAGACAAAATAACACTAATGAAGAGACAGAAAGAAAGAAATAGAAGTGACCTGTCGTGTATTAATATAGATTACGTCCATTGCAAGTGTAGTCATTGAACAAACTTCTTCTGTATGCAGAGTTCAGGACTTAGCAAGTGAATTGTTATTGCTTCTGCAGTTTGAAGGAGTCTGATTCGTACACTTTTAGGAAGACTGCTTCGTATTCTGTAGACAACTTTTAGGTTTTTTTGGGGTGTAGCTTGGTGTCCGGAATCTCTCAGATGTTCTAAGGTAGAGCTGTGGGGGGGATCGTTTTTCTCCTTTGAAAAACCATGCTGGTAAGTGTTCGGTGATACGTTTGGAAAGTGAACGCTGGGTACGGCAGATATACTTTTCTCCACACGACCAGGTGAATTGGTAGATACACATTGATGAGGCTAGCAGTGGTAGCTTATCTTTCAGTTGTATTTTGTGTCTATTGATTGAGGATTCACTGGAATGCTTGGCACACATCGAGATTGACAAAATTTATCAACCGATAAGAAGGAAACCTCACACACACACAAAGGGTCAAAGTTCAAGTAAAAAAAACAATCAATTCCAATACAAGTAGCCTAGAAGGTGTGAAAACATACGAAAACAACCAATCACGTCCAAGGTCAACGGGAGAGATGACTTATACACTCATGGAGAAATCTGAAAGCTCACTTCAACAGATTGAAGTATACGCTGAAGATGTTACCTAGTAGGGTGATAAAAGCTTCGCAAATTAACTGTCCAGCTCAGAGAACACAACCACATCAAAATACTTACCAATCCTCAACTCCCCTTTAGCTACAATTTGATTATTTGTCACATTTTGATGGCGTAAATAATAACCCTAACTAATTTTTATTGTTCGGACACTCCTGATGTACACAAACACACACACAAAAATAACTATATATAAATGCGATGGTACAGCTAACTGAATGAATTCATCGTCGAAAAGAGACTCTTCTCTGTACTTTATGTTCTCACATATTTTCAAAAGTTGGTTTGTAAGGATTAGATTTGTTTTTACGAGTTGATCATGGACTATTATCAGTTAGAGAACCATTGAAAACCAGGGAGTACTGGACAGCTAGCTGTTTCATCAGCCTATTTTGGGAATCATGGGCAGTACGCACCCACTGGGTTTCAAAGTATCATGGCCTTCACTCTGAGGACACCTAAGGTATGATAATCTCCTGAATTCCATTGTCACAGGAGGGTGGACACAAAACACAAATTCAACCACCATCCAGTCATCACAGGCATACCGATGTGTATTGGTTGAAATAAACTAATTGAATACAGATTAAATTGGAGACATTGTCAGAAATCTTTGAAATAAATGAACATACAAGTTAGGTTTATCAAAAAAGTGAAAACACCAATTAAAAATTCATGGATAATCCCCATCCAGGCATTAATGAAAACAAAACACGTAGATCAGCGAAGAGTCTCTTTTCGGCGAATTCATCTTCTTAGCTGTACAATCGCAAATATATATGCATTGTTTTGTATGTATGTGTACATTAAGTTTGTCAAACAAAGTTACAGTCGGTTAAGGTTAATTTTAACTAAACAAGTGAAGGTTGGTAATACAGGTCAAGAAAATTAAGTGTTAGTGAAACTAGGGTAGTAACAAAGGTGATGAGTTGTCACAAACAGTTGTAATAATAATAGTGAGTTATACTCAGGATGCACATAGAAACAAAGTAGAAATTATGTAAGAGACATAAGTGGATACAAGAATTACAATTGCTTAAGGTTATTTTAACTAAACAGGTAAAGGTTGGTAATATAAGTCAAGGCAATTAAGTGCTAGGATAGTAACAAAGGTGATGAGTTGTCACAAACAGTTGTTAAAAGAAGTTATGCAATAATAATATGAATATTTTGATGAGTGAGTTTTACTCAGGATGCACATAGAAACAAAGTAGATAATACGAAACTATGTAAGAGATCTAAGTGAATACAAGAATTATAAGCAACTAAGGAACAGGCAAAGAAACAAAGTTAAGTTATCAGAATAAAATAAAATAAAAATCAAAAAATCAAAACAGGTCCTGAGTACATCTGAAAAGTCCCTAACTGAAACGAATCAGTTGTCCAGTTCTCCATGGTTTTTCTGTGGTTCTCTAACTGAAGTCAGCTGTAACCAATCTATTCCCTTCAAACGAAAAATATATATAAATGAATGGGGAGCATAAAGAACCTGATATTGTTTAGCACCTATTTCCGCAGGTACGTTGACGATACGTCTGTGGCTTGCAACAATATAGATCTCGAATGCAATGCGGCTCTCCTTCACATAGCATTTGCAGTGAACCATCAACGTGATAATCACTTACTAGATCTCAACATAAAACGAGGCACTGATGGAACGACTGGGAAATCCATCTACAAGAAAAACGTTTATAATGGCCAATACTTGAATTATCACAGTTTTTGCCTGATTAATTGGTTACAGACAGAGCCTAATGAAAACGCTTCTCATCAGAGAGACAGAGAGCTAGAGTGTTGTGTTCAGAAGGTAAGATCGGAGAGGAACTCGCAACCATCGAAAAGAACCTTATCGAAAAAAGATAGCCATGGAAGTTCATATCAAAATATGCGAAGGAAAAACCAACTAGACCGAAATCCGAAATTGTTGAAGAGAAACCCGTCTTTGTATGTCTAGCGTAAAAATGTGGAGAAGTATCCAGAAGAACGGAAAACAGAACTAAAGGTGCACTGGTAAGAACATTTCCCACCGCCAGACTCATTCCACTTTACACCACAATATGCTTGTTAACTCACTCAAAAGTAGATAAGTATCCTGCTCTGCATTTCATCTCCAACTGCATTCACCAATTCACCTGCACTTGCGGCAGCAAGTACGTAGGAAGGAAGGGCTGAGAGGAGGAGAGTGTCTGCTAGATTATCCTAGTATATCCCTGGAAGACTCCATCTGATAGGCAGCAAAGTGTTCTCAAGCGCAATCGCCAGACACACCTAGTTGACACGGGACAACATACAGTGGAAATTAGCCTGCAAGCTTTCAAACTAATCAATACAGAAAAATGAGCATGATTACTTCTATCCGCGGAAGCCATGACCATCTCAAGACTTCTATCCAAACTATGCATACAGAAAGAGGAGGGTGTGACTAATCTCTTACTACTCTACCTGGTAACCGTAATTGTTTTCTTCGTGTGCTTTTGTGTTTTGTTCTTTTCTGTTGCATAACATTCCACTTAGCTTTGACTTTGGTTTTTACTTGCTGACTGAGCATAACCCACTGTAAAGTTTCCAAATCTACTGGTTTAAATTATTTTATCTAGTTCATAATTTTACTTTACTATTCAGCCCACTTCGCCCCTCCTGAACTCTCCGCCATAATATGTTTAAATTCCCTGTGTTGTTCCATCTTGTATTTTATCTCTAGTACATCCGTGTTTCCAAGTGAAATCTGAACTATACCTGCTTCCTTTCCTAATTACTGTATGAATAGTTACTCTCTTTTAACATCAAATAATTCGACTACTTACAACATCTTTGAAATTATGTTGCCTGCACTTTGTATTTGTAAGTTGAAGTCATTGTACGAAAAAGTATGTTCAGGCAGCATTTTGTAACTTATAACCGATTTATTTAGGATGTACACAGTTGAACAGCATCCACGAGATAAAATGAGCTTGTATTATCCTGCAAACTTTTTCTCTCCTACTCTATTCAAACTTATAAAAAATAGCTCCAAGCACGCCATGAATTCGTCAGACAGTGTAAGGGTAAATAATTTGTGAGTGGTTTATCTGAGTTGTGTCACTGAACTCACTACAATCCATAATTGGTATATGCAGTAATGCATCTACGCCTCCTTCCTTCGGTGTCACTTATGTTATTAAGTAGATTACATATTTTGTTCTAAATAATTCGGATTTTTGAAAAAAGTGTGGCGAAATGTCAGCTCAAACTGTGTAGATTACAAAAGTCAAATTTGATTCAATGTATTATAAGATTTTGATAGTAGTTAACCAGGAAATCGGACGGTTTCAAGAGGTTTGGCTCTTTTAATTAAGTCGAACCAGGTACAGAGCTGATGAACGCGATCTGAAACCAGTGAAACGATCGATCTGGCTGGCTAGCACGCATTACTGTATGATCTACTCAAATCAATCAATGTGGTACAGTAGACTGAATGCTGCAATTATCTACATCGACTTTGTCACTGCACTATGTATTCAAATATTTAATAGTTTATAGTTATGTAACAAAATGTCGTTCGGTATGAATTTTAAGAATGTCTTTAGGAAATAATTATTTGTATTTTTATGCTCTCCAATTTTATTGCTAATTTTTTAAAAATTCGTTTTTCACTCAGTTATTATAGATGAAGGGAAAATTCCTAAAGAGAAAACTTTCATTAAACTGATGAATTTTGTGCTTAATTTGTCTTAATCCCAATTTTGTCCTTTCAAATAC